CAAAAACTTCTTGGCAGTTGTCAAGTTAGCCTCTGGTTAAGAAATAGCGGTTTCATGCTGATCAAAAAGGTTTTCGTAGCGTTCCAGTGCAAAGAACAATTTCAGGAATTTGTACTTTACTAATAATTCATTAATCAAGTTTCAGCTCCAATCGTTATCCAGAAACATTCTGAATAACGATGATGTGGTGCAGTATTTAACAAAAGTGAAAAAACTTTATCAAATAGTGTTTTCAAACTACTAGATTAGAATAGAGAATTACTCATAGCCAAAGATTAGTATTTGATGATACACTGAGAGTAAAACATTTAAAATTTGTTTATTAGAAAAACTGTACAGTTAAAAAAGGAAAGATAATCCTATTCCAAATAATGTTTTTATGAAGCACTTTTTAGATTAAGCTTTAGGTAAGTTTTAGAGAAGAAAATTACTTACAAACATGTTTGCTGATGTTTTTTGAATAAATCAATACCAGTGCAACACGTATCAAAACTTTTTTCATACAACAGTCAAGTTTAGAGGGTTAACACACAACTAAAAAAATTATTTTCAAGAGCAAAAAGAGTGAAGAAAAATAAAGGAAGAAATTCAATTATAATCAAAATTTCAAAGATGACAACTACATTTTTAAATTAAGATTGGTTTCAATCAAAATATACGTTTCTTTTTAATATTTAAGTCATAAAAAGTAGTACTTAAAAGAGTAAGCTTTTCCTCAAGCTTGTAGTTTACCAAGGTATGAAAATGTTTAATTTTTTTCTGCATAATCACAATTTTTTTGTGAATTTTTAATTTAGCGTTTTTGAATGAAGGCAGTAAATTTTTTGATTCGACTGTACTTTTAAACTTTAAATATGCATTAGACTTGTCTAAAAAATGCCAAAGTAACTACGGAAGCATTATTTGATTTTTCTCATAGATGAAGAAAAATTAATTACAATTTATTTTTAGATTTTGCAAAAAAAAAAATTAAAAATAAATTTGAAATAAAGAAAAAAAATTTTTCTTATTATATTAAATCGCCGCTGATTATCATTTTGAAATTAAAGGAAGTATTAGACTAAAAAGAATAACTAAACTTCGCAAAAAGTTTGGTAAAGAATAGCTCTCTGAATATGACCATTACAAGCAGAAACTTCAGCATCGTTTAAGTTTAAGCGCAGCTTTTTTAGGAATAGAATGTCAGCTTGAAGTCTACTTATTAGAAAAATTTGGCAGGGATTTGGAATATTAGTTTGTGACGCAGTGCTATCTAATTTGAAATGAACAGAATATTATTTCATAATTTCTCTTTGCATATTTCTAAAGCGCCTAGAAGAAAGTAATAAAAAAGTGTTTTGCAGTAAATTGTTTTCTCCAATTTATTAGAATGTTTACTTAAATCAAGCTTGAAACTCACACAGAAATGCTTAAGTTCCTTTCAAGTGAAAAGAAGACTGCCGTCAGAACAAAAAGATTGGAACTTAATCCAACGGAACATTGATAAGAGAGAATGGTTTGAGAAGATATAGCTAGAAGTATTCTGTCAAAAAATACGATATGAAAAGTTTGGAAAACGGCTTACGGTTAAGAAACAGCTTCTTCGCAAATTTATGGTTATTTCTTTTCTATGCCCAAAATTCTGTCCAACTGTCCAAAAAAGGCGTTAATATCGCTAAAGACTGAGCATAATATGATAAATCAAAACAGACGGTGAAGAAATGCCCGCAAAAACTGAAAAAAAATGAAAGTCTGAAAGAAGGCTTAATTAGTCTGTTAAAGTTTCTGTAATCATCTTGACTGTTTTCTTTCAATAGCATACTTTTTCGACTATGTTTGACTAAACATTGACTGCTTACAAATATTGAGAAAATTTGACATTTTGACAAAATACTGCTTAAATTTTCTTCAAATTTTTCACTTTTTATTTCCCTAGGCTTTTTTGCAAGATTTGCAAATTCTGAGCTAAACTCTCGTAATAGGCAAAATTAATGCAGTTCAAAGTATCAGCTTAAAAATGAGTGCATTTTGGGAGATACTGGTTTTCTTGTAGGTTTGTCACAAAAATTCACTTAAGACAGAAAACTGAGAGCTCGGGGATTTCCCCGTCGGGAGAAGTTAGTCAGTTTTGAAAAGTAACTATTGGAGAGCAGCGTTCAAAAGATTTCAAATAGTTTTGATTAACTGAAAGATATCAGAAACCGCGCAACATTGTCCGCAAGAAGTTGGACTAAAAAAAATTTTTGCTAAAAAGAAACTTCTGTTTTCTTCGAGGAGGGTAACAGAGTTCCTCTAAAATTTGTAGAGAAATACATCAACTAAACAAAAAAGCAACTTTTAGAAGTGAAAACCTGTGAGAAATTCAAGCTCGAGCAGAATAGGCCTTAACTGCAGAAAACTTGTAAGGCTGAAGCATACAACGCGGTTAGTTTATACGAAAACAGGAAAACATGGCATCAAATTAGTTTTGAAGCAGTTCTCATTGTATGGTGTGCTAAAAAAAAAGCTAATTAATAAAACATTAGAAATATCCAGGAAAACAAAACAAATTATTTAGTTATCTTTATTTTTGTTCTTCACGTTTAAATATTTACTGCTGTAATCATAACTTTGCAAGTTTTGATTACGAAACCAGTATCCGGAACGACGAATGACTATATGGCTGATAAAAATTGACTAGAAGTTTTTTGTACGGTATTATATTAAAAACGTAATTTTGCAAACTTTTTTGTTGTGAACCAAGCCTGAAAAACCATTTTTGGTATTAGGTAATAGCGCAATTATTAGTTACTCGAATAAACAAAATTTTTGTTATATTTTATTTTAGAAAATTGAAGTGCAGTGAAACTTTGTCTCCTCAAGTCTTCCATTGCCTATACACCATGGCTAAATTGAATTGTGAAAAAGCATAAAGAAAAAATTTATAAGATGGTCACCGAAAAATGCTTTCACACATTCTACTTGTCGAGATTCTGCCCTGATTTTACTCCCTCGACCGTTAAAAATTGCACTGTTTACTCACGAAACAAACAGACAAAGAAATGCAAACTGCTTTCGTTTCGCAGTTCTGCTCGTGTTACTATCAGATGAGTGTTCTATTAATTCTACTCCACTTTTCTGGAGTTTTGTTCAGAACAGGGTTGCTTCTCCTTTATCACATAAGTTTATTCAAAAGAGTTTCCAGTAAATTTCCAACTTTTTGAGTCCTCAGGAATCATAACATCAAACAGTGTACGAGAGAAATTCTTCGGTTGATGCAAAAATGCCAAGAATTGTGAAAGTAAATGAGTTTATTTAACAACAATCAAAAGCAATTATAATCAAACGCTTTTGAGTCATTAGTTCTTCAGCAACAATTAAAGCACTTTTCTAGATTTCTTCAGACGCTTTCTTCTGTGGTGTTTCTTTCTCTTCTTTTTTTTCTTTTCGTGATCTTCATTTGATGCTTCGTTTACGACAGTTTTTCCGTATGAACTCTCAACACCATTTGCTAGCTGATGCCCCGCCGTTTCAGATCGTGTTCCTCCGACAATTACTGCACCATTATGGTAACCCAAACTGTGGGAACTAGCGCTATCAGCCGATTCGGCAGAGCTGAACGCAGCGCCAACATTGTTGCCACTGTACACTCCTGAACCGCCTAGGAAACTTCCTTCCGCACTACCGGTTGTATAGGTAGTTTTTGATGTTATTATTTCCGTCTGATGGATGCCACTCATTTCTCCATTATTCTTTTCATATGCAAGGGCTGCAGATGCTGAAGCACGTGGTGGACAAATGCCACAATATGACGGCACAAGATTAGCAGGGGCACCTGGTTTTCCTGGTGGACCTGCAGGTCCTGGAGGTCCCGAATGTCCTGCCATTCCAGGAGGTCCAATGGGTCCTGGTTCTCCAGGCAGACCAGCTGGTCCGGCCGGCCCTTGCGGTCCTGGTGGTCCAACCGGA